ATAACTCTTAAATGCAGTTGCTCTTTGCCAACATGAAACCGGGACTTCCGATTTCGCACACGAGAAAGTTGACTTTCGTGCCGCCTGCGCACACCATGGGGATCACAATCGTCCTTCCTCCAATTCCTGAATGCACAAATGGGTGTCTTATCAGAGCACCCTGCTCATTTGAATTTTTTCGTTGTCGGATTTAAACAAACAGTCCAAGATAAGAAACAAAATCGTTTCTTGACTCCACACCTTAAAAAAGTGTACTGTTACTTAAACAGTTTAACATATGCTTCTAGGTACTCATTTACTATCATGCTATCTATTGAGAAAATTCATAACACTAAAGAAAAAATCTTATTTATCGCAGTTTCTCGATCAGATGGTTACGAAATTGTGTATTCCCATTATTGTAGACCCGGCTACGAGCCACCACCAATCGCAGTATGGGCTAATCCCAACACATTCAACAGTCTACTGGTTCATCCCAAGATGCTACTTGATCACTCTCCCATTATGGTTGCCACTGCGATAGAACGTCTCTATAACGCCATAATTCATCCCGAGAAGATTTATCATGATGTCCACACTGAAACCTACCACAAGAAAAACAAACCTGTTCCAGGCATTGAAAGAAAACTCACAGAAAATGACAATGAGAAATACTGCCGTATTAGAAAATTCAAGTAGATTGACGTTTTATTCTGATTTTTAGTGTGATTGAATTTATTTTCTGCAACGTGGTCTTGCTTTGTCACTTTTTTTGTATGATTTATTCAAATAAACCAATCTTATTCTAACTTTTAAAGTGTTATCTTATGCCAATATGACCCAAAATGGGGTTACAGTATGGGAACCATCCATGTTTAGAGGATAAAAATTAAGGAAACTGTTTAATTTCAAAAGGTGAGTAAAAAACAATGACTGTGTCTGAGTGTTTGTATTTGGAGAAGATCCAGTTAGAAGGCTATGCAAACTGACAAATCGCCGGTTGAAAGGATTAAAGCCTAATTTGAAGCGATAAATTGAAAAATTCATTCATTTCAAATGGCGGGCATTTTTATAGTTATCATTAGCCCTTTAGTTGACTTCAGACTTCACAGAGAGAAGAAAAATTAAAGTAACAGAAAGTCGAGGGGTGGGGAACAGAATTGTGATTCAGGGATGTAAAAGAGACAAACAGGCACAAAGACAGAGAAAAGGTAAGATGAGTACTGTGGAAGTAGTCGAAAATGACATACAGTGGGGTGATGGCAGTTTGAAGTCAGAAGTCAACTGCCAATTAATAGACTTTTTTGCCGTATGAGTATACGTTGCCCAGGGTGCACCACGTGGAGGTAGGTCTAACATTGATGAATAAATAACTATACACCTGAAAACGTATCATAAATTTTCAATTAAGCAAATATTTCCATAATTATATTAAAATTTATTTGACACATTTCACTGGAAATCTAAACTGTTTAATTATTAATATAATTTAATTGTTAATTTCTCTCTCTCTCTCTCTCTTTGTGCCTAGACCAATATGATGGCCCTAATTATGTCTTTCTATTATTTTTTTTATTATTATCTTATTATTCTATATTATTTTAAGATTAATGTTCGTATAAAAAATTTAACGATTATACTGAAATGAAAAGGCAAAATGATCATTTTCAATTCTTAAGAAGATCACTTTAAATTCAATCTACCAGTTACTTTGTAAAAAGATTGGCATTTCAGTATTGCTTCTAAATTCTTTGTTCATGATAAAAAATTCAGTTTCACTGAGTCTTTATTATTGGTTTAAAAGTCAGAATTCAACTTCCGATTAATAGACTTTTTTGTCGTATGAGTATACGTTGCCAAGGGTGTACCACGTGGAGGTTGCATTCCATATTCGACTGTCTATGAATCATCATTCTGTCCCCCTCTCGACTCTTTGCTCCTTTGAAGTTCCTGTTCCTTTCTGTGAAGCCCGAAGTTCACTAAAGGGCTAATGATGCCTATTATAACGCATGCCATTTGATACAAATAAATAAATTCTTGATTTAAAATTGTATGATGTAATACGCTCATGAACTGATAATCAAGATCAAAACAATCAAATATACATGAGAATGAAATTTAATATAGACGTTACATAGAATGCCAATGAATGAAATTGACTATACAGAAAATTTTAAAACTTTAATAATAAAAAATTATTTTGGCATAATAAATTGCGTATTTTGAAAGGGTAAAGCGGATCTTCTCAAAGCAACATTAATGTCGACAATATGTCTATTAAAATTAGTCAATGTCTAATTTAATTACCTTACTTGTCATTGCAAAACTAGCATCAAATTGACAATAAAAGATAATTTCAGATATAAAAATAGTAATATAGTAATTTTCCAACGTTCACAAAATTTCCTTTAGACGCCACTAATTGGCGTGCAAAAAGATCAATATTTTTAAATCCTGCGGCATAATTAAAGTATTTTTACAAAATTTAGAAGACGATTCGGTGCATTTAAATGCATTTCATTGGTTGTTCGAAGAAATTTGTTGATTGGAAAGAACTTATTCTCATAAATTTTTGACTAGCTATTTATTTTAAACCCTAGTTCAAAACTCACATTACACAAAAAAGTAAGCCGTTGTAACCAAAAGATTTGCGATTTAGCCAAAATGATTTACACCAAGCAAAATACATTATGAAATGTTCATATGTTTAACAAATTTGTCAAATATTTAGTTACTGTATGTAAAAATAAAAGAGGCTTTCTATTCGAGTAAAATTTCCACTAAATCATGAAATCATATATTTTAAGATAGCTTAATGTTTCTCATTGAGAACAACAGAAATCCCACTGGACAAAATTTTAAATTTTTTATGCTTAAAATGTAATTGATATCTAATAAAACTAGTTATCTTAAAATATATAAAAAGATTTAACCTTTTAGGCGTTAAATAAACTGCTTTTTAACACCTTTGACCAGCACTTTGTTCATATGCTTCCTTAATAAATAAACAAAATTAATTAATTAATTAATTAACAGAATAAATAAAATTTACAACAAATGCGGATTATTTTGTTCACTTTACCTTGTTTTTAATTTAAGCACTTCGACACCATCACATTATTTAATAATAAATGATTGAATCAAATTTATTACAATTGGGAACATTCAATTCAGCTTTTATACTAAATCTTGTGGTGCACTGTCGACTGCGATACTGGGCATTGGATTTTCGTTGTCATTTGCAATCTTTTGCTTTGTTAATTAAAATTGAAATTTATAGGGCAAAGT